ACCCGCTTCCTTCTAGCCATAGTACTTCGTCGACTTCCCACCTCTATAGTATTCACCACTTGACCTTTTCATACCCTCGGCGAACGGCGATCTCGATCTCCCCTATAGCACGCTGTAACAATGCAGCTATCTAGCTATCAAGCTATGACACAATATCAAATAAAAGTACAGAATAGATGATTCAACGTTAAGGAAGAGCACTCATGCCTCGGATTTTATTTACAAGTACCACTGCAAAGTTATGGCGGCTTTTTCTTGATCCCAAGTCAATCCTCATCCATGAATACCCACTCAGGGAAACATCTCAAAAACCCTGGGTTATCCAGACATGCCTCCGTCATCCATCAACTCTTCTCCGCGCGATATGTGATCTGAGGTGTCTCCTTCCCAAGTGGAGTAGGTGCCCAGGCTACTCAAACTATACCGGAGAACACCACCAAGAGGCGGATCACAACACCTCCCGTCGTTTGCTTATGTTGATAGTGTCAGCTGCACTCTCGCAAGCGAAGTCTGGGCGCGCAAAAAGCTCAATTCGTAAAACTCTTACCAAAATTCGGAATCTCACGCCCTTCGAGGTTGTATTCTTCCTTTGCATCATTTTGTAAACTTGTCCTGATCTATGTCACGTCCATCCCAAAGAACCATCTCCTAGATTTGTGCGCCACGCTTTGCTTCCTCTGTCAGGTATAAATATCGGCGTGGGCGTGTATTTGGTGGTCAACTGAGACCAGAGAAGGTCGAAGAGAGGTGTGGTCATTGGGATGAGGATGTACTTGGTCGTACTTGTAAACTTGATGAGGCTTAGGTAGGATTCGATCTTTCTTAGAATGAAAATTTGACGTGGTGGAGTTATTTGAATCATTGCCTCGTGAGCTAACCTGTTCGGTATTGCAAAATTTGACTGAACTTGGCTCTGGGAGAATATTTCACTCCCAGGTTCGTAGAGAGCACCACTAACAGGTGTTCAGTCTTGCCCTAGCACACGATCAGATCACACAGTCACAAGAGCAAGTCTCACTGGAGCTGAAGGGTAACAGAGTATTGAGGTTTATAGACGCATAGATATCCTACAATTAGGGACAGATAGGAATTCACGTATTAGCCTCAAGCTCTACACAAGATCCATTGTAGTTATAAGCCACGTGACACCACGTGATAACATTTCATTCATACGCGCACACACCTACAATTTACTAGGTACACAACGCGCGCCCAGAAACCTCATCACGTCTGAATAGATGCTAGGTTGTTCCTGTCAGGTACAGTGTATCTAGGTTGGAAAAGGTAAAACTTCAAATTGGGTTTTTTTGATTTGTATTCATTATCCTGATTTGGCGCCCTTTGGGCCCATGCGGGTGGTTATAATCCTATCTACCGTGGTGCCACGATTTCAAGTTTGCAGTGGGGCTTTGGTAGGGGTTTTAGCGTGTAAATTAACACATCTTAGGCATAGTCACCTTCCATATTGGAGTCAGCCCCCGTATTTGTGCAAATTTCCGAAAAAAGTTATATGGCAGTTTTTATCTTAACACCATAATTTGCAGTGGGCCTTTCCTTCGTATTAAACCAAATTGGTATATTGATCGGCTGCATAACATTTGTGCATTTTTGCTACTTGACTTCATAACTTATTTACAAGAGTTCAAAGGTTTTCGAATTACAATATAGAGCCACAGTCTTACCCTAACTTTAGATCTGAACATGTGGCTGGAATATTTTCAGGCCTTGATATCTGGTCGGTCCCCCATTTGCATCTACCACAGCGTGACATCTTGCTGACATACTCTGAATGAGTCTCACAAGGTCTTCGGAAGACACGGAATCCCATGCCTCCTTTACAATGTTGCAAAGACTATCTTGAGTTCACTGCTTTCCGCAACCCAGATTCGGATGATGACGCTGGATGTAATCCTTCATCTTATTCTAAACAGCTTCAATCGGGTTAAGATCAGGCGAGTTGGCCGGCTAGAAAATCGGTTGAATGAGCCTCTGGCTCTTATCTTCCATAGTAATTGCTGCTGTGTGGGCAGGAGCATTATCCTGCATTACGGAAAGCCAAGGTCTCATCGAGACCATGCCATCGATAAGAGAAATTATTTTATCGCAATATTTTTGGGAGTTAATGGAACCCCATTCCTTCTCCCAAAACAAACCAGGGCTTTTTTCTGGCCCTGCGAAGCAACCCCAGAACATCCATCCGACCCTATTCTTCGGTTTTTCTCCAACACAATCAGCGTTGTATTCTTGGGAAGTCTAGTTCATAATGTTAGAGCATCAAATTACCATCTTCTTGTTGAGGAATATACGAACACTTCTTGTCACCCATTCTCTAGAATGTCTTCCATCCTCAACCCAAGTTTCGTCTGTCCATAAAACTGACGTCCAGTCTTCATATGTCCAATTGAGATGAGCTTCGCCCCATTCTCTGCGTGTCTTCATAGTTTTCTGAGATACTGGAGGCTTTAGACGAGCCAAATGTCGCTGATATCCTTTTTTTTTAAGTTCTCTTTGTATTACCCGCTCGCTAACACCAAGATGTCTAAAGGGGCCAGAGGCGAGTTCCAGAAATGTTTTGCGGCGGTTTCCAGGTGAAGACTCAACGTAAGATATAATCTGATCAGCATCATATGCTTTCAGCCTTGAGGATGTTCTTTTTCTCTTTTTAGGGAATACAGTTCCATGGCGCAGTGAATAACTAACTTGTCTCCGAGAAATGCCTAGTTGCGCGGCTATCTGCGTCTGTTTTTTGTCAGATTCATGGAGCCCATACATCTGTAAATTTCTTCTAATTTCAATCCGTTCATTTTAATTTTTCGACTTATGAAATGTTTTGATCTCTGGATAGTTGTTTGATTTGAGGCGTTGAAGGTGGGGTTTGAGGTGGATTCATCTGTAAAATAAGGTTAGTATCAAGTAAAGCCATGTGTCTTCTGAATAAATAACTTTGTATTTGAGAAATCCAATTCTTATTGTCACTCAAGCACAAGATGCGAAGAGCTGTGTAATTTTTTAGCGGTCGGCGGTCATAAAAGTGATGGCAAACAACTAGAGAACAGGTCGGAATTGCATAAAACTGAGGGTGAAATGAAATCAAATTATGCCCTTTGTATAGGCGTGGAAATCCAGGACAAGAATTATGTTCCCTGTCGAAATTGGCGTTAACAGGGGTTCAACCCCTGTAGCGAATATGCGCCCTGTTTAAATCCACTGAAAACTTGAAATCGTGGCACCATGGTACATGGTGCGTGAGTTCTGCCATACACGATCGCAATCTTCGATATATAGAGTCCGGCATCCCGAGTCAGGGAGTCGCAAGAACCAAGGCACCAGAGCAGTTAGCACTGGCATCCATCCCTCTAGATTGTTTAGTAGGTATTGCGGGTCCGAGCTTCAGCTCGGCGCTCCAAAGGACTTTAAGTAACTAACATGATAATAGGCTTGTAACGAATTTTTGCTATTACTCTGAATTTTCCGACCAAATTTTATTATAGATCAAAGTGGAATTAAAGTTCCCTCTGCGTCTTTGACTACGAAGGTTTGCTAAAAATCTGTCTAAATGCTATTCAAGGTTTACCTGTTTTTATATATTCTTTACTTGCAATATTTTTCAATGGACACTGAGGGTCTTGCCCTAAAATTCCATCAAAAATCTAACCTCAAAGGAAGGATTCCTGGAGGTCTTGTATGATAGTATCGCTGGATGAAATTAATAATTTATGATTATTCCACCTTTCCGAAATTTCTGAGCCCAATAAAGTTTGGTGAATAGAGTCGAAAAGTGTGACTGAATTTTTAGGTACGTTGCATATTACACAGTGGGAATTACGGGCCCTGTCCTATGCTTTCATAGTATCTCAAATAAATTCACTCTCTAGGAATGATATATACTCAGCTCTATGTAAATAAGAATGTGGTTGAAGAGCGAACTATGAGTTCCCATACAATAAGAAATTTCAAAAATCATATCTTTGTGTGCGATTGTTTTAAATTCTGAACTAATGAGCTAAAAAGCCCATTGTAGAAGTATAATGATGTTACTTATTTTTGACTCATAAATTTTATTTTCAGCCCACACCTGTGCGATGCATTTACTTATATGCTGGTTAATGCAAACTTTTAACATGGTTGGTATAGCTATGATTTATTACAGCCTTCTTGTGTGCAGAGCACTGCGACTTGAATTGATTGAATTCTATCGTGTGTTATTTAAGTAATATTCGTCATCATGACAGCACCTCGCAAAAGTAATATTATAGCACTTACATTTAGCCAATATTTTATGATGATAAAGTTGTGGTAGTAGATATATGATAAATTTTCTAAAATAGTAGAAATTATGTCGAGCTGCTTTGTTCAAACTATACGTTTAAGACGAAAGCATACGTTGATGTAACAAGTGTAAGGTTGGCAGTCTCAGTTGACGAATTGGTCAAGGTCTCATCTCGTGTAATTCTGTCTTAAACAAATTCCCGGGTAGGTCTACGATAAGTAGATTTTTCAGTTGGTCTATTTAATCAAACTTGTATATTTTGGTGTTCAAGGTCATTTTTTCGTTATTACAACGTAACTGTGAATAAAGTAAAATAATCTCATTTTAACATTGAAATTGTTGCCGGAAATTGATTGGTAGATTCTAGAAGTCCTTCATAGTCTCAGTCTCAGAAGGGACTATAATAAAAATTCTTATCCTATCTCGTGGATAAAGTAGATTTCAGGGTATAACAATATTTTAGACATTGAACATTTTTCAGAATCAGGTTTTTTATTTGATATTCGTGTCGCTGCATTTGAGTCGTTCTACTTTCATTTTTATGTGAATTTATTCAACCTGCCTAATGTTGATTCTGAATAGTTGACTAAGTGAAAGAATCATCGAGAGCAAGGTACGACCAAGGTATTTCGAGTAAGTTCCGAGAAGGCATAACGTTAGATTTAATGGTTAAAGAAGACCTGTTCTATGCCAATTTGACATACAGATATATAAGTATATATTGTCGAATCTACTTAGCCAGAATATTATCCGATGTGTCGCGACTTCCTACCATTAGTTCAAGCCGACCTGCAAGAATGCGGTGCTTTCTAATGATTTCCACCCATTCCGCGTCTCCGCCTTTTCCTTCTTTCATATTTTCGCTTTGGTGTTGATTTAAAATAGATATTACTAAGCTGAAATCGCCTCCCAATCTTCCGAGACTACCTGCGCAGTAAAGCACTTGGGTGAGGAGACTATCACGATTGCTGCGCTCTTTCACATTAGGAAGATACTTTCGAAGGGTATCGGCTAACATATTAACTAATGTTAATGGGAATGTACTAAGCGCACTTGGGATTGATTGAAGAATTTGGAGAGATTCAGTCCCTGTTGGCGTCTGCCCTTGCGAGATTTGCGCTTCGTTTGTAGATGAAGGTAAGAATATTGAACGGTACATAGAGATTATTGCGAAGCTCTGTTCCCGGAAAATTTCTATGTATCGTTTTAAATATCGCTCCGTCTGTTGACCGTTCCCGAGTCTACCCTTAGTTTCTGTACTTTCACTCAACCGGAATTTTTCTGAGTCGGCAAGTTCACGTAACGGTTCAAGAGCTCCAAGCATTTGTCGTAGATTCGCTAGACGACAAACAAGGAATAACGCACCAAGGGCTCCTTCAGTACACTCGGGGCTGGAGTTAAGCTCAGGTGCAATGCGCCTGAGCCATGATATTGTTCGCATTGCAGATGCTAATTTGAGTGTGTTGAATTTGAGAGAATTTATAAGATTTGATGTCATTTCTTGCATTGCAAGTCTCGATTGCGCTTCCACACTTGCGACAAGCGCTGAGTCAGGATGAAGGGTGTGCATCCGACGTATGTGTGCATTGAGATCAAGAGCTGAAGCGTAGTTTAAAGTGGCGGCGGATGTTTGATTAGAACTGGAAACAGCCGTGGACAAGAGTGAAGGTAGTTCGAGGATTGAGGAAAGACGGTCGACATTACGAGATAACAGTAAGGCTTTCTGTCGCCTTTCTAGAAGAATATTTTTTGAACGAGAGTGATACGTCTCGCTGAAATGAATAGCAGCGTTATCAAGTTTAGGGAGGGCATCCCGGAGAGATCCAGTCATTCGAGCAAGAGCGAGCAGCTGGGTTCTCAAGGTGGAAAGTTCCTTATCTGAGTAAATTATGGAGTTATACGAGCGTTTTGAGAGAGCCTGAAGCGATATAAGAGTTGTGTGTAAACTTTGTGAGAGACATTGGGGCTCTGAGGTTTTTAGATCTGAAAGGGAAAGTGTTGTAAGGTAGTTAAGGTATTGCTGAATCGCAGGGCTCTTTAACTGGAAAGCGTTCGTAAGTGGTGAAGATTTAAGGTATGGAAGCAACAGTTCATCGAATGTATCTATCATGGTGATTTATATTAGATTATGGATAGTTAATACAAAAATATTGTGACGCGATGTGCTTCGGAGCTGGTGAACGAAGTAGCGTTATCATTGCAAACTAATCATATGTTGGATGTAGGCCAGATCTTAGTGTTGGTGCTCATGGCATAAACTATTTGAGAATACAAGTTGAACCAAATTTTAATATCTTATCCATTGAGTTTTTGGTCAAGTGGTGCAGACGATAGCTATGTCAACTATCGGGAGGATGGAAATAGGAATTTAAACAGCTGTGCCATCCAGGCGACAGGAACTGACACATAATCCATTAGCTGTGTTTTGACAAGTCTCCCAATGCTGAAGAAGTCGGGAATAACTCAAGACTCACTGCTATATCAATCTTCATTCTCATGAAAAGCAATTACGAACAAATCTTCATTTAGTCATCAAGCGCGTCCCAGTATGTCCCTGTTTCACCGGCAAATACGACTTCCTCACCTTCCAGTGGTGCAGGCGGAATGGCTCAATATGTTCTGCATATTTTGGATAGCCACAAAGAATTGCATCCGCACTGAAGTCCAAAGTAACCTCAAGCAAATCTAAAATCAATGACTTCTTGTTAATGTCTGACTTTTAATTCTCACGTGAGTCTTCTACCTCAATATTGCTGCAACACCTGGCCTCAACTACCGATAAAGGCGCTTCTCCAATTGCAATCGGGAATATGCTCGTCAAAAATGCGCCATCCCTTCCTACAAAGTTACGATGCTATGTATACCCGCGAGAAGTAAATTAAGTCATAATATACAAAGCTCGGGTCTTGGTCTATGGGGAACTGTTGCTCTAATGGGGCTTCATATCTTGAGGGGGGATAGGCAGTTGGGACGTGGGGCTAGCGATTGACGAGGTCACAAATGGGCATTCTGGGACTTTCATTTTTAGATTATTTTCGACTCCGAAGGGCTTGCGAGCGCCGATGCTGCGATTTCGGATAGTGCAATCAAAACTTATAAACAGACAACGATGTAAGGTGTTTTGGACCCCCTCTTTGTGGCCATCTCCCCGAATTAAACTCTGGGCAGCCTGGCACCTAGCTCACTCGAGAAAGTGGGAGGGCAAAACTGAACACCTGTACGAGATGTCCTCTAAGACCCTAGGAGTGAAATATTCTTCCAGAGCCAAGTCCAGTCAAATTTCGCAATACTGAAAAAATTGGCCCACGAGGCAATGATTCAAAATACTCCATCATGTCAATTTTTCACTCCGTATTGGTAAAACACGATTTAATACAAATTGGGTGCCGTCACGAAGTCGGTGAATAATCTTAATTAACTGGTATCTCGAAATACATAAAATGTTGTCTCTCCTTCCTCTCCATCTCCCCTTTCTCCCTCTACTCCAAGCGCCTCGCTAATGAGCTAAACCAGACCCCTGTCAGTGTCCTAACGACAATATGAATACCGCAATTCTTTTTTTTTTTGCATCAGATTTTAATTGCGTATGCAGCTATCTAGCTATGACACAATATCAGAGAAGTGTATGATAGATGACTCAATTTACAAGAAGAGCACTCATGCCTCGGATTTCATTTGCAAGTACCACTGCGAAGTTATGGTGGCTTTTTCTTCACCCCAAGTCAACCCTCATCTGTGAATACCAACCCAGAGAAACATCTCAAAAACCCTGGGTTATCCAGACATGCCTCCGTCATCCATCAACTCTTCTCCGCGCGATATGTGATCTGAGGTGTCTCCTTCCCAAGTGGAGTAGGTGCCCAGGCTACTCAAACTATACCGGAGAACACCACCAGGAGGCGGATCAAAGCACCTTCTGTCGTTTGCTTATGTTGATAGTGTCAGCTGCACTCTCGCAAGCGAAGTCTGGGCGCGCAAAAAGCACAATTCGTAAAACTCTTACCAAAATTCGGAATCTCACGCCCTTCGAGGTTTTATCCTTCCTTCGTATCATCATGTCGACTTATCCTGATTCCTCTCAAGTCCATCTCAAATAACTGTCTCCCAGATTTGTGCGCCACGCTTTGCTTTCTCCGTCGGGTATAAATATCGGCGTGGGCGTGTATTTGGCGGTCAACTGAGGCCAGAGAAGGTCGAAGAGCGGTGTGGTCATCGGGATGAGGATGTACTTGGTCGTACTTGTAGACTTGATGAGACGAAGATAGGAGTCAAACTCGTTGGGAGCGAAATAACGACATGGAGGAGTAATTTGGATTTTTGCCTCGTGGGCCAACTTCTTTGATATTGCGAAATTTGACTGAACTTGGCTCTGGGAGAATATTTCACTCCCAGGTTCGTAGAGTACACCGCGTACAGGTGTTCAGTCTTGCCCTCCGAATACCGCAATTAGATAGAACAATTCATACTGCCCAAATGTGATCCTTTTACCGACACTCCGAGAGGGATCAAATCCAACCTAAGCCTCATCAAGTCTACAAGTACGACCTATTACATCCTCATTCCAGTGATCACACATCTTGTCGAATTTCTTTGGTCTCAGCTGGTCACCAAATACACGCCGATGCTGATATTGACACACGACGGAGGAAGCAAAGCGTGGCGCACAAATCTGGGAGACAGTTCTTTGGGATAGACATGAGAGGATTCAGGACAAGTTCACAAGATGATGCAGAGGATGGACATAACCTCGATAGGGGTGAAATTTCGGATTTTTGCAAGGAGTTTTTTACAAATTGAGCTTTGTGCCTGCTAAGACTTCGATTGCGAGAGCGCAGGCGACACTTTAAACACAGCCATGGTTGGATAGTGCGGTGGCACATCGTCTTGGCCAGACTTTTGGGTAGAGTCTGGACAGTTTGGACATGTATCCCACTCGAGACAGTAGATCGCTGGTTCAAATCCGGCAAAGCACAACAACAATTCTCGCGGCGCTGGTATGCATGGATGTCAAAGGCATGCTTGGATAACCAAAGGATTTGAAATTTCCTTTGGTGGGTACTTATAGAGGAGGGTCGACTGTTTGTGTGAGCGAACATACCTCATAGTGGTATTTGCGAATGAAATCCAGATCATGGGTGTCTCTAACGTCAAAATAGTCATCCAATATGTATATATTGCACCGGTCAAAGTCATAGCTAAATAGCTGAATACATATTAAATGATTTAAAAAAAAGACGTCTTGCGACAATGCAGATCGCTCACTTAACTCTTTGATAGCTGTATTGTCCCGGGTTACATCTTCAGGCCAGTCTCTTAACAAGAATCTGGATAGCTTGGAAACCAGTCCCATATGTTACGGGAGTTGGCTTGCACGTATCCAGCAGGGCTCTCGTAAGACTCCACTGCATACCTCATGGTACTGCTGTGCATGAATAACGAAGGCATCCTCGAATAAATTGAGGCTTTGATGTTCTCTTTGGCGAGTACTTACGGACAAGATTTGACTATTCTTTGTAAGCAAGAAACTTCAGTGTGGTGATGACAATTAAAAATCAGAGAATAAGCGTCTCTCAAGTCATCAGCCATATTATATATGAAAAAGACACTCATAGTTCGTCATAGATACAAAGCTGCATACATAATAGGTGTTCAAAAAAATTGAACTGCATATTGCTTTTTCGGTATCGATGGCACTACCCACAGCTTTTATTGTTGTGCCGACCAACACACAAATTTTAGAGTGACTATTCTCTACACTCGTCAACGGTATCCCCTACAAACCTCCAGCTCTTGCTGTAGAGTCTGCAGAACCGAGATCGAGTACCAAAGTTCTTACTTCGACGAGGATTCCCAATCGCTTGCGCGGTCTTTATCGACTTCATCCCTAAGCACATTCCCCTATCACCATCATCATAAAGCTAACCACGATCAGATCAGATGGTAGGGTCAGAGCTCTTCTCATCAGCTACCCTTCACCATGGAGGAAAAGCCATCCGATGAGTTTCCGGAGCGTACCCAGCACCCGATACTGAGATGGTGGATTGGATCAATTTGGCCTCAACTGTTATAAAGAGGGGATATATTGACCAATATACGCACGTCATGTGATCCTAGTGTCTAGGCCTCGCCTGGCTGTGGCTGCAGGTGTATTTATCTATATTCTAGGGTAGAAGATTCCGTTGAAAAAGTGACTGGATTCCACGGGTAATATATCAATAACCTTTGAAGTAATAAAAGAGGATAGGAGCACTATACAAGGTGTAGCCTAGGTCTGAGAGGATCCCAATGTGTTAGATAGTCATAGAAATTGTAAACCTCACAATTTTAGATGAACTTAGCTTTTCTATGAAATCCTTTCCTCTTTCTCGCCTCACTACCTGCAATATATTTTCACTCCAGCCATAAAACTCTATTAGAGCAGAGTTCCCCACAAGTCAAAGTCTGAGCTTTTTACATTAGGATATATCTTCCTACCTGCGGGTTTACGTAGCATTGTAACTTTGTAGTGGAAAATGACCGATATTGAGTGAGATAGTACCCCGTTTGCAATCGAAGAAACCACACAATCGATGGTTGAACTAAAAACATTTTTTGATAAGATTGACTTGGAGGACTCGTGTAGCAATGCTAGGATCGAAATTATTGAGAAGCAATTGACTGTAGCTATGCTTGTAATTGCTTGCGATTTCGATGTGGATGCTAATCCTCCCGGTGATCTCAAATATGCGGAGCCTAACGAAAGTTTTTAGCGGCACTGCTTCAAGGTGAAAATGTCGTCTTTGTTGACTATGTATAGGGCCTAGTGTGAAGTCTGAATGAATAAACTTCGACTGCCAGAGGAGCCTGCAGACTCGTGTAGCAAGGATGTCAATATGAACCAAACAGGGAAAGTATTCAAACCCTACTCTTATGTGCTCCTTTAAAGCTGTTAGATTCCGTGAATTATTACGTCCTTGTTCCTGTGGAAGCATGCAACCTGCCGCGGCCTGGATCCTGTACGGAGATTCCGGCTTAATCGAGACGAACTTATGAAGCACAAGCACCAGTATCATGAAATATGTAGGGTAAATACAACAACTGCTTTGTCGAATTTTCATTTTATTTGCGATTGTAACAAGTTGTAGAATGAACTTTATCTATTTTCAACAAACGCTACACTCAACGCCGCACTCGACCGATGGCGACGCCAATTACCCCCTGGCCTCGGACCTACGAGCCTTGTCTATCCCGACCCGATTTGCACTTCGACTTCACCAGATTTCGCAGGAAACCTCTACCCTCCATCCCTCTGAGTGAGGTTAATTTCTGACCATGCACGATCCCTTCCCTATTCCACCCATCCCGTGGCTTAGCAGCGCTGTTCAACCTCTAGCTGATTATCTAGGTTTCCAAACTCTACCTCTACACATACACGAGGTTTTGCTGTCTTTCTTTTCTTACGCATTTGTTGAGAATGTCGTTGCTCCAACTGTGTCGCAGTGGTTATTTCCCGTCAAATATGCAGCACTATCGAGGAACCGCCGACTAAATTGGAACGTTCACGTTGTGTCGCTGGTTCAAAGTACCACTATCAACATCCTAGCCCTGTGGATTCTATATGCAGACGAGGAACGCAAGAACATGGAATGGCAAGAGCGCATCTGGGGATATACAGGAGCTGCTGGAATGATCCAGGGCCTAGCTGCCGGCTATTTTCTCTGGGATCTAATGATTTCTATAATCCACGTCCAGGCCTTTGGCCTCGGCATGCTGATGCACGCTATCAGCGCTTTAATAGTCTTCTCGTTTGGTTTTGTATGAAACCTCGACCCGGACCAACGAAAGACTTTGCTGACACGAAGTAGCGGCCATTTGTCAACTTCTATGGTTGTACTTTTATCCTCTACGAACTCTCCTCCCCTTTCCTAAACTTTCACTGGTTTTTTGACAAACTGGGAATGACTGGCTCTAAAGCACAACTTTACAACGGATTCGTCTTACTGCTTACGTTTTTTTCATGCCGCCTGGTCTGGGGAACATACCAATCTATTAGCGTGTTCCGGGATATATGGGCTGCTCTCAATCACTATTCTTCAGCATCTCAGCTTACAGTTGCTGTTGAAAGTCCGACAACTGTCTTGGGTGTAGAACTTGGTAATCCATCAGCCTTGCAGCGAGAGATAATGAGGTTTGCCGGCGATGAATATGTTCCTGTCTGGCTCTCATTTATCTATCTTAGTAGTAATCTCACACTCAACTTTCTCAACATTTATTGGTTTCGACAAATGATCATTACAATCCAGAGAAGGTTTGCGGCTCCAAAAGAGGTCAAAACCAATGTACCATCCGCAGTATCACAAAATCCCAGCGAAAATGGCAGTCTCAAGTTTCAATCTGAAGGTAAGAATTCTGCGCGAAAACGCAGGAAAGGGGAAGCTTTGTGACAAGCTGTTATTCGCAGTGTTATAAGCACATGACAACTTGGTATGGGTAGTTGCAATGCACATCTGACCTTATTGCACGCCAGCCTATCCTCTTGTTAGATTTCTGAAGTGAAAAGGGAATTGGAGATTTTATCGCTCTTGTCTTATAAACTTTTTATCTACGATGAGGGCAGGAAAGCGACGGAATTTGCTGGCACAAGTGGCGCGGAGTGAAGATTTATCGTCTAGAGAATAACTGCATTCTCTGTAGATCACGAGTTGCGTTCAGTCGGACTCACCTTGGAACCACATCGATTGGCCTTACCGTAAGCTCAGCAATCTCGATTGTGCATAGCTAAAATACTATGGAGAAACGGGTATGGGCTAGGTGTCATGATTTCTGATGGCAATGAGTTTAATTTCAATTATTAATTATTTTCCTGTAGGCACATGTAGCTTCCCTTTTGCAGTGAGCCTATGACAATCACTTCGCACAGCACCCCTAAAGAAGACCATGCTGTAATCGGCTGTGACACCAATTCTCCCATCATTCGAAAAAGAAGATCATGCATCCTTTCAAGCTGTAACATGATAATGATCTAATTCCTTGCAAAGGGCACGTGTTGAGTAGAGGCCGCATCTTTGAAATAGCATTCGACACGGCCGTAGGTGCTCCGTCCAAGGTTCCCGGATGGCGCGACCATATGTTTCGAGATGATCCCTAAAACACATTAACCAACCCGCCCATAGAGAGACTGCCTGCTACAAAATAAGGCATGGTAGTTCTCAATCATCTCCCCATGAGACACAATTCTATAATATGTCTCTCACAGTGTGTTTTGGGGGTTTTAACATGACCATGGCGGGGCGGGGCTACATCTTGTTAGCCGCCACCAAGTCCGGGAACTTCGAATATCTTGAGTGACGCAATATTTCTAGACTTTAACCGTGTCTAAAATCATGTCTAGTCCTACGGCCTAGAGAACCCCCTTTTCTCACGCTACAGCTGAATATCTCATCCCACAATAACCACGTCCCACCCGAGCCCCTGCTACCATCATTATCTCTGGTTCATCTGGCTCTTCCCAATCCCAAGGTTTTCCTAGACAAGCATCTTCCATTCATACTATTGCCTGCTATCCACACTGGGAATCTCAATGCCGCTAAATCATTGACCTCTGTATATTTTCTACGTTCCATCATAACTTTACTCGTTAGTGCACATTTTAAGTCGGTTAGATGAATGCGGAGTCGGGTTTCAGGCTTAGATTAGTTTCAGCAAAGTTTTTCACGCAGGCAATTTGAAAATTGTGAGGATCGTTGTTTTTACAAAAGGAATAGATAGAGAGACTCAAATCCACCTGTAAATCTAATGATGGTGATGATATTTACCTGAGAGCTATACATCTATCAAATTTCTATGATCTAATCTTTCTACTAGAGTAACAAGTAGATGTTTCAAGATAATAATAAAAAAGGTGGAATCAATCCTCTGCACGTTCATGTCAAAATCTCGGTTGTGAGATAATCTTTTACTCCGGGATCTTTGGTTTAATCCATTTTCAGTCGTTTAAACATCATTCTGAGAAGGACTACTGATTAAATGCCGGGGCCTGTAAAAGTTAGTCAGAAAGTTCGTTTAGCTATCAAGAACATGTGCAAGTAAGACCTAAAATCAGAGTCACAGGAATCACTAAATCCCCACCGGCCGCCCAATCATGACTCTATCAAGTCATACCTTGAGACAAACTAGTTTCAGGTCACACCCAGAACGGTGACCACTGGATCCAATGTGAAAGTATGCAATTTTGTTGCAAGAACTAACAACGATCAGCTGTGATGAGAGTTCTAAATTACACAAATTAAGACTTTCGCGCTTGGCGTGTCGCCGGAGATGGCTCCACCAGTCGCACAACTAAACATGTAGAACAGACCTAGACATACCTTCCGACCAAATTGCCAAAGCGTACAACACTTTGTAGCCCTTCTTTTGTTTCATCGTTAACTCTACTCGGCCAGATCGATTGCATCTAGGATGTTGTGGACTGCATGCATGATGATCCATTATGATCCTTTCCATGCTTGTCGCTATCAAACATTGGGTATAGGCTCCTGGACCTCGCGGAGTTGCAAGTGAAAGTCAAGGATTACTCCTTAACTCCAGATAACAAGAGAGTAGAAACCTATAAGAAATGGCACTTCGCTCCTCACCAATACATCATTATTCCATTCTCATTAATTAATTTACATCCTCTTCTGCACTCAAATTCTATTTACTATCCCCTTCATCGACTCTAATTTTCCAAGATGTTTGTTAAGAATTACGTACCATATGCGCTGTGCGCTTTTGCCCTCTCTGCTCATGCTGCTCCCTTGACTACTCGTCACGAACCTGTTGTTCCATTGGCTACTCGTCACGAACCGGTTGTTCCATTAGCTACTCGTCACGAACCTGTTGTTCCATTGAACGCTCGCCATGAACCGGTTGTTCCATTAGCTACTCGTCACGAACTCGTTGATCCAAACACCCAGACTATGGCTGAAAAGAGAGCAGCAGACGCTCTCACCGGACTTCTTGGTATGTTTAATACATCAAAACTCTTCAAGTCATGGTTCGTACTAACAAGGATATGTAGGAGGAGCTGGTGGCGGAGGTAGATCAAACGCTACCATATAGAATCAATGCCAGACTGACTGAAGCCTTGTGATAGACCCATTGTCTGCCTTGTCCGGAATCGCTGGAGGTGTGTTGATCTCCATCAATCAATCATTTGAACTAATTTATTTTTAGGCGCTGGAGGTGCTAAAGGTGCTGGCGAGACCGCAGAAGCCGCTGATGCCGATGAAGCCGGTGCTGGAGCTGCCGCAGGTGCTGGTAGTACGTCCTGACTTGAAATATTTCTTCAAAAAATCCTAGTGCTAACTAAGCTTTGCCATTTAGACCCATTATCTGCATTGACTGGAGGTGCAGGCGGTGAGTTATTTCCCCCTCTACCCCACTGGTGCTAAGCTAAATTGTGACTAGGCGGTGACTTACTCGCAAACCTCCCAATCAGAAGAGGCACTGTCCAATTTTAGATTGGTTTCATGGAAAGAGCTTGTCGGACAAGGCAATGACTAGAAGGTTTCAGCCAGATCTTTATTAATTCCTCATAGTCTATCAGATGCTGCTTTTAGTTTTGTTGATGAGCTTGGAAATGTCGAATTGTAGTCGAGTCTAACCCACTAAAGCTCGAACATGATGCTGGACACATGGAGAGAGGCAAGAGTAATTGGGTTAATTTAATCAAGTTAATCAAGGATTCCGATAAGATGTAGATGCTATTAGTTTTGACATATAAATTTTTATTATTATTCCAACTGTTATCGTAAAGCTCGCTTTGGTACGTTTGGATGAAGCATGCGTGTAAGCTTTGTACTCCTTCACATGCCTTCATCGGTGTATCTCTCCCTAATTTTAAAGCACAATATACAAACTTGGAACATCCCAAAAAATTTTATTTTCCTCAGAGTTGCTCATATGCTAAATTTAAGTTGCAAACGTTAATCTTAAGTTAGTTTAATTTCATTACACAATTGTCTCTTGCTCATAACTGCCGGTTGATAAGTTTTAAATCATTTGGCTGTCCTTAACACCCACCTAATCTTGACTGTGAGCAAGATTGATATAATCAGAGTTTCCAGAATTTGAATTTGCAGTAAATTGTCTCAAGTGTCAATTGTACTCAAGTTTCCTACGGATTTTTTTGTAGCACCTAATCTAGTCATATACTAAATCCTTCTTTACTTTTTTAACCTATTCTTTCATCGTATATTCGCTTTCATATACGCCCGAATCTGTTCACCTTGGAAACTATCTGAAACTCTGCCTTGCCCCGTTGTTACCGTGTTAATAGTCGTACAGGCAAGAAACGCGAGTAGCAGCTCAAGAGCCACTAATTAATCCCCCAGGTTTCGTCGAATAATTAGATAAATGTCGGCGAAATTTCTTACGTATTTCTTCGACGGAGCTTCGTCGCAGATCGAACAGCTATTGTTATTATTCAAGGTATAGATAAGTATAAAACTAACACTATGGCTGTACCCTCAGATTGAGCGGTGTTTGCAAAGTTTTCGATATATGTTTTTCCTTTAGTTGTTAGAATTTTGAATAATTGGGGCTATCGAGTAGGCCACGTTGTCGATACACACGTGGCTACAAATTCTGTACTTAGTTTCACTTCGGTAGTTACTTGAATCAATGCGCTCTACAACCTCAATGACTGAGGGGTCATTATTTCCTTTAATATTAATGGCTATTTTTGACGGTTCCAAAATTTTTGTGCTCTACTTGGTGGCGAGATGGGTTCAGATTGAAAAAATCTCCATTAAAATTTCAAGAAAGTGAAGATTGTCAGCCATTTTGTTACACATAGCAGGCAGGTTTGATCTAGTCTATTGCTCTTATTTGGAGTGTAGATATTTGGTTTTGTTGGGCTATGCAGCTTTGAGGTCTCTTCAGACTAGAGTTTCGACTAAAAAACTACTGACATCACTCCTCCCTACCGCGATCTGGATAAATGCCTTTGAATTCCACTGTTTGCGGCGAGTTAATCCAAGTTCTGCGAGTATATTTTTGTTCCGGGTTTGTAGAGGTCATTATTGACAGGTGTTTGGCCTTCATCCTCTGTTATTGACAGAAATATGGCCGCCGAAAAGGTTTTGTTACAAGCTACTTATAGTTGGGTTCCCTTGTTGTCGCGATTAGGACTGAATCCGACGACATAATTATCAATCTCAAACAATCCCAGAGGCCGATAGGCTAGGTGCCACATAGTTGTGGATACCTGAACATCTCACTCTGTTAATTTAGCCTCATTCCATCTTCTCGTGTCATTCGCGCATCTATAAGAACTGAAAGTTGCGTTGGGTGCCAGAAAGGCTTGACAGAGGGTGCGTAATGTTGATCAGCGTAGTCAATTACTCAGGCTTTATTTTTAATCGAGGAATTCTGTAGAATAATTTGAAATAATAAATCTCAAAATTTAATTTGAGCTCAATCTCGGCCCCGCAGAGTACCGTAAAACTTAAGTTCTTACATGTCTCAACATTGCCATCTGTTGGATTTCTGTCCTCGTTAATGTACGCGTAAGAGATAGGGAAATGAAGTAATATGGCCCTTGCGCCAATGATTACCAATTTATGCAAACAAGGTGTGGATAGATCATCGTGTCTAGTCTTGCGAGTTACTAGAATTTAGTTTAAACAGGTCAGTAATCAAAGCAATGTAAATCACGCTTAACATGACACGCAGCTTCATCTCAATGCCCTGGTACCGTATTGAAATGCTAGCAGCTCTGAAAGAATTAATTTTTATAAGTCCTGCAAAGGTATTCGGGAATTGAGAAGATGAGCAGCTTTTGTATCTATCTATATGTGCGCATGAGCCAGAAATCGTTGGGTAATACTGACTAATTTTAATCATGCATTCTTCTCGTGCATAATACTACTACAAACGGTTTCGCCATCCTCCACATGATCAAAGTTTTGACAAGTTCTAGATAGCCAACATGATGTTTATTTATTTAGCACTTCATTGGTTAAGCAGGTTCTCCCGTTAGAAGTAAACAAGGCGTTAAGATCCCAAGAGTTTGGTAGAATTACATATTTAGAGGGGCATTAGATTTAGCTGCCCTCCGTAGCTTGGTCTGAGAAACATTCAGGGGACAATCTGTTTGTTTGAAGGAAATTGTATGGCCATACGGAAGATAAGTGGTAGCTGCGTCAACGGTCTTGGTAGAAAGATACGACGCGAATTCTAGCGCATGCGACAAGAATTCATCCATGCGGAGAGAAAGTGAGGTATGTTCATCGTACTACTTGAGTCTTAGACTTCCATGCGGCCAAAGTGACATAGCAACGTTCATCTTTGTACAAGTCAGGTTCACGGACATGAATCCTATATTTAATTTTAAAAACACTTCTAGAAAACTAACTTGGCTAAATAATAATCTTCGCGGCTTATTACTTTTCCAGATGTCAGCATACATTTCCTACTCAATCGATTAACTGTGGCTGTGCTACAAATCTATTCACGCGGGTGGCTGTGCATTTCCACAAACTTCATTAGCACAGGCTGCGATAAATAGTGTCCCATTCCCCGCTCCAGTTTCTGAAAAAAAGCTGTAAACAACCCTCTGGCCACTTCGGCCCTTCTTTCCAGGCTCTTCGTCAACAGCCTGCTTAATTGATTAATATAGACGGCCTGGAACAAAATTGCCCTCGACTTTACGAACTACTTAGAATATAACTATCAATATCTCCTGCTGGCATTCTCTTATTCACCACGACATGGCTACTCTTGGCGACGATCTCCTCGGAATAGTGAATAAACTTCAAGATCTAGTTTTTAATACTATTGGAAACGATAGTCTAGATCTTCCGCAAATTGTACGATGGGTTTTCTCTGTCTTCAGCAATAGCGGGTCACTAACATTTTTCTCACAAAGGTCGTTGTGGGGTCTCAGTCTGCCGGAAAATCATCAGTACTTGAAAATATTGTTGGACGCGATTTCCTACCCAGGGGGAGTGGCATTGTCACTCGAAGACCTTTGATTCTTCAACTTATAAACATTCCGGCCGAGGAGGATGTCTCTGGAGAATTTTCCGGAGTTCAGGCTGAATGGGCCGAGTTTCACCACGTACCAAGCAGAAGATTCACAGATTTTCAGGACGTCAAGCGAGAGATTGAGAACGAAACCTCGAGGATAGCAGGGAATAATAAGGGGATAAATCGCCAACCAATTAACTTGAAAATATACTCTCCACATGTCTTAAGTCTAACACTTGTAGACTTACCCGGCCTCACAAAGGTAAATTCGCTCTGACATGAGGGAGAACCGGAACCTATTCGCTAAATGATGGCCTAGGTCCCTATTGGTGACCAACCAACGGACATCGAAAAGCAGACCCGGAACCTTATCTCAGAGTACATAGCGAAACCAAATAGTATTATTTTAGCTGTATCTCCAGCTAATGTCGACATTGTGAACTCCGAGGCTTTGAAACTTGCGCGCCACGTCGATCCACTTGGAAGAAGGACCATTGGAGTTTTGACGAAAATTGATCTTATGGACCATGGAACTAATGCACTAGATATATTATCAGGTAGGGTTTACCCACTTAAACTTGGATTTACCGGTGTGGTCAATCGCTCCCAACAAGATATCCAGGGCAATAAGTCTCTTGACGAAGCTCTTAAATCAGAATCAGATTTCTTTAAACATCATCCCGCATACCGGAACATGGCCAGTAAATGCGGAACCCAATATCTAGCAAGGAGTCTCAACACAACTTTAATGTCACACATTCGAGAAAGATTACCTGATATCAAAGCTAGACTCAACACACTTATGGGACAGACGCAACAAGAACTTGCAAGCTATGGTGACATGCATTTCAGTGGCAAAGAACATCGTGGCTCACTAGTCTTGCAGCTGATGACGCGATTTGCAACCTCTTTTATTTCATCCATTGATGGCACTTCAACAGATATCTCAACCAAAGAACTTTGTGGTGGTGCCAGAATATACTACATATTCAACTCCGTATTCGGCAATTCTCTGGAGCTGATCGATCCAACTACCAATCTTTCTGCTCTTGATATTAGAACAGCGATCAGGAATTCGACTGGCCCAAGACCTAGTCTTTTTGTGCCAGAATTGGCTTTTGATCTGCTGGTCAAGCCTCAAATAAAAATGCTTGAAATACCTAGCCAAAGGTGTGTCGAATTAGTATATGAAGAGCTCATCAAGATATGTCACACTTGTGGCTCGACTGAACTAACAAGATTCCCTCGACTTCAAGCAAAATTAATCGAAGTAGTCTCTGACTTACTTCGAGAACGTTTGGGGCCAGCCTCATCGTACGTAGAATCTCTAATATCCATTCAGCGTGCTTACATAAACACAAACCATCCTAATTTCCTAGGTGCGGCAGCAGCAATGAGCAATGTTGTAAGTAACAAGCAAGAAAAAGAGAGAAAGAGAATTATCCAGGAAGAGCGGGAAAGAAGGGAGAAGAGGCGACACAAAGAGCTCAATCTCAACGAAAAGGAGGAGCCGGAAGTGGAAGATGAGAAACCCGAAATACTATCTAGGAATCATGCAATAATGAGTGGTCGAAGTCATTCTCCCGGACTACGAGACAATGGGACGAACGCCATGATTGCCACAATGAACGGGGTAAATGGAGCGACCGGAGGTACACGAGACTCATTTCTAAACTACTTTTTCGGGAAGGATGGCTTCCCAGTTGGTGCTACCCAAAGCGCATCATTGCACAACCCAAATCTAAGTCGACATGTTAATCAGAGTATAGAGCCTAGCTTTAGTCAAAGTATTCGACGACAGGAAGAGCGAATTACAGTTAAATCTCCTGCCCAGACTACACAAGAAGATGAATTCGATAAGCCTAAGGTGTCTCCAGACTTTGATTATAGTTCTCCATTTGTAAGGTAGTACATTTCTAGTTATTTCATCGTACTTACTTTTTCAGGGAAGCAGCAACGAACCTGCATTAACGGATCGTGAAGCTATGGAAACTGAGCTAATTAGAGCCCTTATCTCTTCCTACTTTAATATTGTGCGAGAGTCGATAGCAGATCAGGTGCCAAAGGCAGTAATGCATCTTTTAGTCAACCACTCTAAAGATGTTGTACAAAATCGTTTAGTCAGTGAGCTCTACCGTGAGGATATGTTTGGAGAGCTACTTTATGAGGATGATGCCATCAAGAAAGAACGTGAGAAGTGCGAAAAACTACTTCAGACTTACCGGGAAGCAGCAAAAATAATTGGGGAGGTAGGAATGTAAACTTCAAGAGCAAAATTAATGCTAATACTAAGCATGTGTTCTTGACGTTAGGAAAAAGAGAAGTCAATATGTAGATTGTGCCTTTAAATTCGCCACTTCTAGGTAGGCTTTCAGGCACCTGTAAACTTGTACCAAAAAAATTTCGGACCACGCGTTGGAATTAATTAAGTCTCGTGTAAAGAGCGTTGAGTAATGAATCTAGCTTGTGAGCATCGGAATCACATGCTGGCAGTAAAAGCCGTTTCTCCGACATATCGAACTGGCAGTCTTACAATTGACGACCCGTGGCATGTTCTACGAGCCTGGTTCGCTGAACAATGGGTCAGGACTCTAATGCCAGGATATTGTAGGCGTTTAAGGCGCATCGGGAGAAAAGCAAATACTACACAATCGGTTACCAACGGTATTGGCTTCCTGCCCGCCCATCTCACTATCCTTCAAAGTGGTAGCTCAATGGGCTCGTTCCCCACAATCTGGCGCACTTATTACCCTCTATCCCTGCACCTCAAGCCGCAATCGCTATGTTTGGACGGATAGTCGGCACCTCGCGCAAAATACTAACTACCGCGCAGGAAGTTCATCTTCTCATTAGTTGCCATATATAACACGTTTTCTACATTATTTCTTAATTAGTTGTATTATTAAAATGTCTACTAAAGTCAACGTCGAGCGGCCTTCCGATAATCTGGCACATGCTATGGCGGGTGCAGGCGGAGGCCTCCTCTCCATGGCACTCACGTTTGTCCAAAGAACTTCTAAAATCCGATTTAAACTCACTTATACAGATACCCTCTTATTACACTATCCACAAGAGCTCAAGTTGAATCATCGCGTGCTCATTCTGATTTTCTTGATGCTGTTAGAGGTATCGTACGTCGTGAGGGAGTGTCTGGCTTATATTCAGGCCTGACTTCAGCTCTATTTGGAATCAGTGTTACGAATTTCGTGTATTACTACTGGTACGAGCTCACTAGATCTAGCTTCGAAGTAGCTGCTCTCAGATCAGGTCGACATCCAAAGAGGCTCACAACTGTGGAGAGTATGGTTGCTGGAGCTATTGCCGGGAGCACAACGGTGCTGTTGACAAATCCAATATGGGTCGTCAACACACGGATGACTATTCGAAAGCAAAACAACGCGTCGACTAAAGACTTAGTAATTACGCAGTCACCTTCTACCCTTGGTACTCTGGTGGATCTGATTAAGAATGACGGTCCGTTAGCTTTATTTGCTGGCGTCGCGCCGGCTCTCATTTTAGTCATCAATCCAATTCTGCAATATACTATCTTTGAGCAGCTCCGAAATATGCTACAGCAAAAAAGGAGGATGACGCCAACGATTGCGTTCTTGCTTGGCGCTCTGGGCAAGCTCTTTGCTACTACTATCACATATCCTTACATTACTCTCAAAAGTCGCATGCACGTGGCCGGCCGTGATGGAGATAGGTCTAGTATGGTGGATACTATCAGGAGAATTCTACGAGAGGAAGGGTATCTTGGTTTCTACAAGGGTATGTAGCTCCTTCAGTTTATGCCTTTTACAACATCTGATAGATTTAGGTGTTGGTCCTAAAGTCGCTCAAAGTGTTATTACGGCAGCTTTCTTATTTGGGTTTAAAGATATTCTCTATAAACAAACAATTAAACTACGTCGACAAATACAGCTACCAGCAGCTTAAGGTTGCGTCGGGAAACTGGGTGGGATGGGAACGTTACCACAACGGAAGCCAGAAAGATGCTCAATTGGCATAGAGTCACTCAGGCATTTGGATAGACGTGCCTTATATGGCCGCGTTTTGTGTGGTGAAGGCGTGTGTTTTGCGTGCATACGACGGGTTAGCTACCTCAACTATCATCCTCTTGATTTCGCGTCGGTCAACCAGTTACTTGCGGTCGATGTAATCCCTTTTACACAATTACTTGATCCGCTTTCTCCCGGATAACTGCGTCACACTCTATCGAGTATTCTCCTCCGTTATTGGTCTATAAGAAAGGTAATTGTATCAGGGAGATGCCTCGGTAGTGGTGATACCGGCAACAAGGAAACATCGTGCAGACCGATTGGGCGTTCTCGAGTACTTCACAATAGATGGAATAAACGATGATGAGCCGTTGTTAGGAGGGCGATGGATTCCTGGCTAGAGTTCACTATTACCCTACTATGACGTACGTACTTGGGCAGTCCATGACATTCACGGTAAGATAACTTTATATTTATTTCCGCGCCTTTCAATTTTCCGGCTCTTCAACTTCGTCAATTGTCTCCGGCTCTTCTTCCTCGAAGCTACCAACTGGTACTTCGTAAAGGCGGAGCATGGGTTTGTTTGGGTCTTTCAGTAGCACATACTTGCCTTCCTCACGCTTTAAGCACATGTCAGCAATGGTGCGCACGATACCCCATCCATTTGAAAGGCTAAGATTCATCTGCTGAGCAAAATCACGCGGCTTCCACCCAACAACACCAAGTATGACGTGACGATCATTAGTTTTAGGATTAGCTCGAGAAACAAATCTATTTTTAGGGTTAGTCTTATCAAAAACCTAGAGAGATGAGGTAGACTTGCCCTAGCTTCATGATATCTGCACTAGCCATTATACTTTGAGTTGTCCATCTTGCTAGCTTGCAGCTGTTATTTTTCATTTCGGTAGCTACGACAGCACCGCGCTGGCTAACAAGTTTTGTCCGCCACTCGAGAGCCCCGCCGCTACCCTGCGCCTTGTGGTCAAACTCATTTAGAGCTTTGACAGTTAAAAATTGATCTTCGCCGCTAATTGCATTCTTCTGAACGGCATCTAGCTCGGTTCGGACTATGAGGTGTACTGGATCTTCATCGTTCAGAGAAAGGTCAAACCTTCTATATTTATATGCCTTGCTTGCAGCAGGTTCGTTTTCCTCAGCTGGATTGTAGAATGGATTCTCATTAGGCATTTCGACTTTTTTGCTCTCATTCTCAATCATGACTTGATTTGCAAAATTGTGATTAATATAGGTAGCTTCCTCGGCAAGAGCTCCTGGCTGATTAATAGCGTCTTTACTTCCCTCAGAAGCATCCATCGGGGCATCAGCCGCATTTTCGTTAACCGTGACCATATCAAGCGTAGCGTTGTCTCTCTTATCTAGGAAGACCTTGTTGCCCTGTCTAATGATGATGATATCCCAAGGATATACAGAGCGTGGAGAGCACATAAGCATGGAAAGGATGCTATCAGTTGCAAAGATAGTTGCCTCATCTTTTTCTGCAAGCTCTTGGATGACTGGGTCTGATGATGTTGTGACATTGTAGGCCGCGCGGTCAACAACGCTCAATTTTCGCTCACCCACTTTGACTGGCTGCTTGTCGTAAGATCTGTCGTAGTAATAGAGGAACCCGTAACTTTCGATGTCTTCGCCTTCGTCAGTATCTAAATTGAGTTTTGCGAGCCGATTAAAGTCTATCTCTTCGAGCATTTTCCATTCAGGCTTGATATTGACTGATGCGTCACGATTACGCTGAGGTTTGTCGTAGTCCTTCCATCCGAATCTTCGGGCACCACGAGAGCCGCCACCACGACCTCCACGATCGTTATAATTGTTATATCCTTGTTGACCTCCTCGACCTCCAACTCTCTGGAACTGACCACGTCCGCCTCTCGTATCGGCCCTTCCACCTCGTTGGCCACGGCCGCGAGCAAAGGGACCGCCGCGGCCGAATCGCGTTTTGGCCGAGTCGCGTGTGTTGCTGACTACGGAGAAAGAGAATTCATCTTCGGCTACCTGGGCGGCAAACAAGGAAGAGGTTCCGGCGCCGTAAACCTGTTGATCTGACGCTGGAGTCAGCCCGTCGTTCTGAGGCGCCAAGCGGAGGCGACCTAAGAGCGCGCGGGATACGGGAATTATACGCACCTCTATAGTTCCGATTGTACTGCTGGCGGGCGCCACGGCCATCACGGCCATCTTTGCCTTCGCTAGTCCAGTCTGCCATTCGACCAAGTTTATCGCCCTTAGAGTAGGGGGCATAAGGGGCGCCATTTAGCGTAGTGTCCTGCGCAATTGGCGGACCCCAAGTATCTTCACATGGCAGTGCAGATATGATTTCGGCCAAAGCAGTTGGCGTCATGATAATAGCAATGTGGTGCTCGCGGCGCCGATTCTCCCTATGCTGGATTTTTTTGGATTTCGGGGTTGTTGAGGATTGCCTTGTTCCCCTGTGCCGAGATCCTGATTACGCGGGGCAGGCAGTAGCGGTCACGTGATATACGGTTGTTAAGGCTTTGGCGAGATCTCAGCCTTATAAGGAAAGCGCACCTGATTGCAAAAGGACTACTATGCAGCCCGAGATAGATTATTGCTTCATGGATTATTGCAAAACACTTGGAACCAGCAGTTATCTATCTTGAGTTGATCGACGACTTTAGTCAATAAGACTCGTAAAACTAAGTCGGATAGTGTTGTTAACATTTCTATCTTGATGTCGACCCGTACAAACAGACCGTATAATAGTAACTCATATTGATACTCGGGATTGCGATGGACAGCAGAGATTGATGGTGTTTATGGCAGTGCGGGGTCTGGTAATTAGTGACAGTGATAGGACACGTGTATATATATATCGCGCACTTGACTCCTCTTTAATATAATGATGCTTCCGACTACATTCACAATGCCCATACCTACTCTGGGCTAATCACCCCTTACTATATCGGTCCTATCTTCTAATTAATGCCCTTTTCCCCTTTTATCCTAAATGACAGGTCATGATATTCTTCGTCTTGCTGGCCATCATCAAGCTCAGAGTTACGGACAGATTAAATCTTTAACAAGTGTAGTGCAGTCCCAGCCTGTGCTCTGATTTTCGTGTTTAGAATTGACTCAATTCACAAAACTGTGGTTGATAAATCCCGCATCGGCGGAGGCTTCCTAAGGAACAGATTTCTCAAGTAAGCCATGATCAGAATCCTTACAAAACGTTGAATTTCTAGTGAAGGGTAAAGCGTTATCAATCTCATTTTTTAATGATTAGTCATATAACTTTGGGGATGAAAAAGCCATCCTAAGTGGTCATAATATTATAGTTGTACCTGAGCAGGGCCTAGAGCAGCATAGCCATGCAGATAAGAAGCGAACACATTGGGTTCAATTCCTATCTGCACAGAAGAAAAGTTACAGGAGTAGATAATCCACGATGCCAATGTGGATATCCGTCCCAGAATGTGAAGCATATGATCATGGCCTGCACCAGCTGGGCCAAAGGTAGAGGAGAAATACTGAGAAAGGCAGAATCCCGGTCATTTGAGGCCATGATGAATAACACCAAATAAATTGCAAGGATAACTAGATGGATCCAGCAGGAAGGAAGGTTAGAGCAGTTTCGACTGACGCTTGAAGTCGAGACCACGATGAGTGAGAGATAGAAGAGTAGGGGAAAGAAGATCTCCTGCTATTAGAAACGAAGTGGACGGTATCCTCACTGGACATAACAGTGTAAGTGCACTTCACGAAGGTAACACAAACTTAAAGTGTAAATAAATTGAAAAGTTGAGGGGTTTTTACCATAAAGGTTTCCTCCTAGATAAATACTAGAGTTCATAGACACCTGCGTGGGCCTTAAGGCGCCAAATCGGGTTTAATAAAATCAAATCTGTTAAATTACAAGAAGGGTTGGCCATCATAATCATCCCTACAATTTAACATAATGGAGTTAGGGTTGTGGTTATTGGTTGCCTAGGAGTTAAAAAGGGTAAGGCGTCTGTTGATTTTATATACCCTGTATTAGTAGTTTCATATTAGCGTGTGGATGAGACTAGGAGCGATACATTAGAGGGTGCGAGGTCGCGATACTTCTGTTAAGCTCGTAGACGTAGAGACGAAGACACTCGCAACGATTTAACCCTATACTTTATCAAATCTACTTCCAAATATTCCAGTAACAGTACTACTGTATTACCCGTCCAGAGGAATCATATTCTAACAAAATTCAAAAAATATTATTGTGAGCAATGCATAAGGTGTCCCCTACGAACCTCCAGCTCTCACTGTAAAGTCTATAGAGCCGAGATTGAGTAACAAAGTCCTCACTTTGACAAGGACTCCCAATTGCTTGCGCGGTCTGTATCATTTTCATTTCTCATCACATTCCCCTATCACCATTTTTATGAAGCTAACCACGATCAGATCAGATGGTAGGGTCGAAGCCCTACTCATCACTAACCCTTGATCATGGAGGAAAAGCCATCCGATGAGTATCAGGAGCGTACCCAGCACCCGATACGGAGATGGTGGATTAGATCAAGTCGACCTCAACTATTACAGAGAAGGGAGATATAGATGAATATGCGCACCTCATGTGGTCCCGGTGTCTAAGCCTCGCCTGGCCGGGCTGCAGATTTTTGGAGACTTTTTCCCGCACACTCAGTTTCAATTGCTACCATTTTTTTTTTTTTTTTTTTTTTTTTGGATAGAAGGTTTCGTTGAAAAGGTGGCTGAATTCTACGAGTAAAGACTGAGCCGAATGGCTATTCATGAAGGGCGACATATCAATGATCTTTCAAGAAACATGAGAGGCAACGAGCATTGTACAATTTGTGGCCTGGGTCAGAGGAGCCCAATCTGCTAGAGAGTCATAGACTCAAGTAGTATAATAAACACTAACACACAATGCACAAATTTTTGAAATTCGAATCTTCACCTTTTCCCCCTCTC